GGATTGATAACTGTTGAACTAGGCAGTTTGCCTTGCTCTTGAAATTGTCCCATGAATTCCGCCATTTGCCCCGTTTGCTTCTTTAATTCTCCAATTTCTTTGGCTTGATTTTGTAATCCCTACGTCAATGAAGTTAGTAATTGAAAGAACTTTATCATTATCCAAAGACGAACCTAAGTTGGATTGGCCAGATTGTGTTTTTGGTTAAATTGGTGTGAGTGGCCTTTGATAAAGCTCGAGAGGTGGCTGTCTATATCTTCCTTGTTGTTGAGGCTCCCTCCACTTGAAGTTTGGGTGATCTTTCCAGCCCGGATTATAGGTGCTAGAGTATGGATCATTCCGTGACTGATTTTGGCCTTGATAGCCCACGACATTGGCACTTTCCCATCCTCTATTCTCTATCAATTAAGGGCATTGATCATTGAGATATCCTTGCATAGAGCACACTCCACATATGGCTGCACCTTGCACTTTGGTTCCTTCAACAACCTGTGACACAAGAACAGTGAGATTAGCCAATTGGGATTGAATTTCAGAAATTGCACTTACCTTATTCACTTGTTGTTGATGCCGTGGGGGGTCTCTTCCACCAACTCCTTCATATTGTTGTGCATTCAAGGCTCGATTTGCAATTAAGATCTTTGCAACAACTGGAGTCTTGTCAACCAAAGCACCTCTCGCTGAAGCATCAAGCATTTGTCTCTCAATTGGAAGAAGTCCTTCGTAGAAATATTGAATTAAAAGCTCATCATTCATCTGATGTTATGGACAAGATGCAACTAACATCTTGAAATGCTCATAATATGCTGGAAACGATTCTCCTTGTTTTTATTGAATGCCACTGATTTTCTTCCTCAAAAGAATGACCCTTGAAGTTAGGAAGAATTTCTCCAAGAACGCTATTTTCATGCTTTCCCAAGAAGTGACGGTTCCAGGTGCTAATTCATAAAGCCAATCTTTAGCCTTGTCCATAAGAGAGAATGGAAAGGCTTTCATCTTCAAAATATTCCCATCCACGTTGATGGGTGTCATACATGAGCATACTACTTCAAATTCCTTCCAATGCTTGTTTGGATCTTCCATGGACAGCGTATGGTATTTGGGAATATGATGCAGCAAGCTTGACGTCAACTAAAACTCATTGGTTTTGCCTTGGGCTGCTAAAGGGTATTGAATGCATAAGGGCACGACATTGTCCAATCCCGAGGCAGAGAGTTCCTTGATTGTTCGATTATCCATAGCCGAGGCAGAGAGTTCCTTGATCGTTGTCGAACTCCAAGATATTTGCACTGATAGGTTGAGAACTTCGAGTCATAAATAGTACCTAAAACAAAGAAAACAAGATAAAACAAAATCAGAAAACAAAACAAAACAGAAATAAAACTAGAATGAAACTCACGATAATAACTAGGGGAAGATTAGCAATTTTGCTAATCCCCGGCAACGGCGCCAAAATTTGGTGTGATATTAATTAGCACTCAAATTAAAACCCTATGATTGTAGTATATGTAAGTAGGGAACGTTTTAGGTTGGGGATTAGAATGGCTGCTAATCTACACAAATTAAACTTTAAAACACTAAAATAGACTCAAAAACAGGAAACTAGACTCTTATGACTCAAAACTGACCAAATTGACTCAAAACAGTAAAACTAAGTTAAAAAGACTCAAAACAACTACTAAAGAGTGATTTGGACGAATTCTAAACTAATTTGGCTCAAAACACTAAATGGGGACATATTTGAACAAAATTAACTAAACTAAGATACCAAATAAGAACTAAGGGGGGTTTTTGGACGAATTTGACAAAACTAAGTAATTACAGCAAACAAAGTAAGTTAAAACGAAATTAAGGTGAATTCAAGGGTGAAAAGCTAGTTAGAGGGTCCTTCTCCACACATGAAACATATGCACATAAATTGATTTCCAGTATTGTTTCTTCAAACCATGAATGACAATGCCCCAAATTAATTGTGAATGCACTAATTAACTCTCAGATTTTCCTAAGTTCATTGAATTGAATGGACAACACATCGCAACCAAATTATTCTCATCAAGTTCCCTACATGAACAGCATGATAGAGATACATATCAAAGATCATTACGTTCTTTGAAAATCATAAGCATTGACATGGCATTCATAACTATGAACTGCATGATACTCTTGCCAAGAATCTACTTAACACGATTGTGACTAGCAACCTTCACTACTTGTAAATATAAGTTTGGAACTATTAGCTGAAACTCCCTTATATTTTAGCATCAGATTCATGCATGCAAACTAAGTATGCATCCTTAATCAACACACAAGAATAAGTTCTCAATCAAACAGATAAGTAAATCACATTCATGTTTTACGAAACAATAACTGAAGGTAATCAATTCATATTAAACCTATGTCCTTGGCTTCGAATTCACCTCTAACTAAGAAAACTTAGTTACACATGTTCATAGCAATTGAAAAGTAAACTGAAATAAATATTGAAACTAAAACGAGGGAAGAAATAACTCTTAGAACTCCAATGGTTGCAGGTGGCTTACGCACAAGGTCCTCCTCCTCCAATGGAAGCCACGACAAAGCTCATTCTTCTCCAAAGTTGCGGCGAAGGGTGTTAATTGGTGTTTTTGCGACTGAAAGGAGGTGTAGAATTATATGGGGGGGGTGGTCGAAATTGTGGGTGAAAACATATCTTTATAGGCTAGGGTTTTCACAAATTCTGATGGAGAGAGGCTTAGGGTTTACGACACAAGGCTTGGCCCAATCCAAGGGGGAAAAAAACTAGGGTTTATGCAAATTTTAGGGTTTCTAGAAAGGGAATAGGCGCCACTCTTTTAGGCTTCTAGAAAGAAAATGTTTTGTGGCAGATTTTGGGACTTCTAAAAGGGTTTGGGGTGCCACATTTCTAGGGCTTCTAGAAAGGTGGGTACGGCACATGTATAAGAGAAGGGATAGGCCTTCTAGAAGGGATTTAGGTCCCCTTGCAGCTGAATACTAATCTTCCAAGACTTGAATTGATTTCTCCATCTCTTTAGCACATTCCTAGCTTCACTTGATCTTCAAAAACATCCATTCCTTGTGCTCCACATGCATGCAATCCAATCCAGCCCAAAATTACTATAAAATGTTTCAAAATGCACTTTCTTGCCAACTTTGCCAATTAGACCTACAAACACACGAAAATAGCTTAAATCACTATAATAAACACAAACGAACTAAGAAAATGCAAGAAAACAAGCTAACTAAGTCGCATAAATATGCTCCTATCACAAAGGTTGTGAATCTTTGGCATCTCACTGCTATTTCATCATGTTGTTGCACCTTGTCCCCTGTCTGCGTGCGTAGAAGAAGAGTCGGCATCAAAGATTTGACAAGAGAGGAAGAGAGAGAGGGAGAAAGGACTCTGTAAATCTGCAATTGCAGAGAAGAGGTTATGTCGGCTAAGGTTAGAGTTAAGGATTTTAAAGTTGGCTGATAATTCTTTCAAAATTAAGGAATAACTTATTTATTTATTTAATGTGAAAACAAAGGCCCAATCTTTTTTTAATGAAAACTAAAAAGTAAGGCTCAACAATGATTAAAACATATTAGGCTTAGAAAAAACGTTACAAAACCAAGAGTATTCCTAAACTTTTGTGCACAAGTCATATTTTGTAATATATATAATAAATTTACTTAAAATAATAAATGTCATTTTATTTTATAGTTTATGTATCTCAGTACAATTATTTAATTTTTTTAGTATAAATAAGCATTTTATTTATATGGTTTTATGTAAATCCGCCTAGTCCGTCTAGATTCTCGCCTAGCGGCCTAAGCTCTAGGCCCCGGTCTGCCGACCAACTAGCACATAGCGTTTTTTGGAACCTTGATCTTCATCCCATAAAATGAATTATCTAGGCAGTACTAAAATTTATGTTTTTTACAATTAATAAAATATTAACAAAAATATACAATATGTTTTTATTAATTATATCTTCCTCTTTTATATTAAATTATTAACTACACTCTCTCTTTTTCTCCGCCTCATCTTCCTCTTGCTCTTCCTCTTCCTTTTCCTCTTGAAACTGATGTGATTATGCCACATATGCTAATAAATTTGATTATAAATCTTCATTATGGGGTAACATTTAAAAATAAAAAATATTAAGTTTAAATGAAGAAATAAAAAATTGAAATCGTTTCGGGTTCTTGCGCTTGAATTGCAGTGATGTAGGTTTCATTAAAATACAATTATATGTGAACATGATTGTCATACGCGGAATGTACGATTGTATGACCGTTACCAATTTATAAAGATGGCCTAAAAGCACATAGTTTTCTCTCAAATTTTAAAAATCTAACATTTCATTTAGCTGTCATTCTTGCAAATGACAGGCAACACACAACACTCTATTTGAAATGAAGATCTTCTTCGGATTCTCTTTGTAAGAATTTTGAGGATCCTTAAATCGTTTCATTTATCGTATAATCAGTTTTCTTAATAATTATTCATATATAATTTTAAATAAAAGTATTTAAAATGATTTCTGATCACATAATGTACGATAAACGGACACGATTTGAAAATCTTCAGAATCCTCACAAAGAGGATCCGGAGAGGATCCTCATTCCTCTATTTCAATATGCTTTTGTAGATAACCCTTCATATAAGCAAAAGTGAAACATGATTCTATTCGGATCCTCACAAAGAGGATCCGAGAAATAAGTTCATCCTATATGTTCATCTGTCATCCTGCGTTCAGAAATCATAATTAGTTCCAAACGAAATTTAATTTAAAGATATATGATGAACGACTAAAATGAATTGTTTTCTAGATCCTCGCAACAAGGATCCTCGTCCAGCAAAAGCACCCACCAAAAAAGCAAAAGCATTAACAAGCAAAGACCAACCCCCAAAAGCCAAAAACAAAAAGCTAAGGTGTGAAAAAGAAATCTCACTTCTCACCTCTCTCCTCCACCCAATCTATCATCCGTTTTCTGAACAAAAAGTCCAAAACACTATGGAAGAAGAGGAAAACATGTCGCCACCGTTTTGGCTCCAAGCCTCCAATTCTTTCCGGCAGTCCAACCATCGCAGCAGCCGCCTCGGCCGCTCTGCCTCCTCCGTTTTTTTCAGCTCCGGTGCCTTCGTTTTCGCCTTGATCGTCATAGCTCTGGTATTCATTTTCTTCGTAATCCCATCACTCTTGTCCTTCACTTCTCAAATTTTTAGACCCCATTTGGTAAAAAAAAGTTGGGATTCTCTCAACCTCGTCCTCGTACTCTTCGCAATTGTTTGCGGATTTCTCAGCAGAAACAGTGGCAACGACAACAATGTTAGCAGTCCCATGTCGTACGATGTTTCTTCTCCGCAGAAATTTGAGAAGTCAAACCCATCAACCCCACGTCAGTGGTACGATCAGTATTCAGATCGGAGTCGGACGGTCGATAATCAGAGCAGTGGTGCTACTAGCACGATGGACAGAGGAGTGAGGACCAGCAGCTCGTACCCGGATCTGCGTCAACAGGAACCTTCATGGAATGTGGTTAGGGACGAACGGTGGCGATCCCACGACGATACCCATGTGGCCGGTTATCGGATTCCGGATTCGGATCCGCAGCATCAGCTCCACCGCCGTCACCGGTCGTGGCATGAAGAACCGGCAGAGGTTGTAGCACAAGAAGAACCGGCAGAGGTTCTAGCACAGGAAGAACCGGCAGAGGTTCTAGCACAGGAAGAACCGGCAGAGGTTCAAGCACGAGTAGGATGTGTACTACGGACCAAGAATATACCAGTAAACACTTTTGTGATCCCTGCGGAGCAAGTTAGTTCTTCACACGCACAGATTCAGGTTATTCAACCCGATCCTCTTAGTTCTTCACACGCACAGATTCAGGTTATTCAATCCGATCCTCTTAGTTCTTCACACGCACAGATTCAGGTTATTCAATCCTATTCTCCGCCACCATCGCCGCCGAGGACAAAATCTCCGCCACCTCCGCCGCCGCCGCGCAAGACAAAGAGGACGTACCAAGCTATTGGAGAAAAAGAAAACTCGAATGCTAGCGACAATTTGGAAGTGGAGAATAATTTGCCCCCACCGCCTCTCCAAGCCCCGCCTTCTCCGCTGTTAGCTCCGCCATCATCGCCACCGCAGATGTCGAAGGAGGTTGAGAACAAGAAAACGCCAGCTGGGAAACATGCGAAGAAGAAGGGAGTTGCTACCACTAAAGAGTTCTTGATCACGTCATTAAGGAGGAGTAGGAAGAAGCAGAGACAAAAGAGTGTCGAAAATTTCGAGACTCTCCTCGCTTCTGCCTCTTCGGCTCCTTCGTCTTTACTTCCGCCGCCCTCACCGCCGCCTCCTCCCCCACCGCTACCACCACCTTCGGTTTTTCACAACTTGTTTTCTTCAAAGAAATCCAACAAACCCAAGAAAACTATTCACCCAATTCCACAACCGCCGTCGCCACCACCGCTGCCACGGATCAATTCCACAGGGAGATTATCCCAAATCAGGCCCACGATGACAACCCAAAAGCCGCTCCCTCCAGTTAAGGTGACCAGTTTCATCAACAGAGATGATGAGAATGCGAACAGTGGCGGGGAGTCGCCATCGGTTGGAATACCGCCGCCGCCGCCGCCGCCGCTACCGCCATTTAGTATACCGGTTATGAAATACGCAGAGCATGGGGACTTTGTGAGGATCAAAAGCAACGACAGTTCACGCAGCGGCTCACCTGATTTGGACGACAGTGATCAGGATTCAGTTCCATCACCGACCATGGAAGCTGGTAGTAAAACTCCATCGGAGAGCGGAGAGTCGCCGACAAAAGCTATGTTCTGTCCGAGCCCGGATGTGAACACCAAAGCTGACACCTTCATTGCAAGGTTCAGAGCTGGTTTGAAGTTGGAGAAGATGAACTCTGTAAGGGGAAGGTCCAATCTAGGCCCACATTCAAGTGAGGAAGATGTCACGGATATCTAAACTAGTTACTTATTGCTGTGCCGGAAAGTTAAAACGCATTGCGTAATTAGTTAAGAGGATTGTGGTGTAGCGGTAACTTAATCGCCATGTAGAAAAGTTGAAATAAAAAACAGTACGTGATTGATCGAAGATACTTAAATATTGTGCTTAAGGATTGTAGAGATAGAAATCTTGATTTGAGTTGTTTATGAGTTATGAGTTTTTTTTCTGACATATACATTGAGGAAGTATAGTATACAGAGGTGTATAGGGTTTTTATTTTTAGTTTAAAATTATTTAATGGTTGTTGGTTAGAAAAATTCTTTTATTTGATTTTGTTAATATATGGTAGGGGGTAGAGGGAGTGCATTAGTATTCGGATTTGGATTTCACATGAGTGTCAGAATTTGTATGGAATTAAAGATTTGGTGCCAATGTTTATACTATTTTTTCTGAATTAATTGGTTGTTTGTTTCCCATACAATTTGTGTCCATTTTCTTTGGAAATAATAAAAATTAGGACATTTTCTTAATCTTGAAACATAAATAGAACAAACCGGCAATGCACAAGTCATGCACATCATGCACAAAACCATAATTACTAAAATACTCAAATATAAATACTAAAAATTATCAATCCATTGCATTATTTTTCTCATTTGGAAGAAAGGGATGTGGAGAGAGCTCTGTAAGCTCTGGGTTTCTGTGTTGAGCTCATATCTCTAAGCTCAGATTAAAGAGAGGTGAATAAAGTGAGTTGAGTTTTGGGTTGACCTCATACTTCTAATTTCAAACAAAGGGATGCAAGATAGAGGTGAGAGGAGTGAGCTGGGGTTTGTACCATATTTTTTGTTTTGCCTGGAAAAAAGTTCTATTTTTTTTCGGCAACTGAAGCTTCGACAGACATAGTAAGGTAGGGTGTTTAGTTCCAAGTTTCTACATCAATGATTTATGGAATAAATAGGTTGTTTGTAAGATGAATTAATACTTAGAAGCTAAATTAGGGTTTGTGTTTCATGTTGAGGTCTATGGGTTATGGAATACTTTACTTTTTGACGTGCTATGTTTATACCATACTTAGGGCCTCTGTATTTAGACCTCGTATAAATACTTGGGGGACTCAAATGTAATTATGTAATAAACGAAGGGGCGAATATGTAAAAGGGGGAAGAGCCCTTATTCTATAAAAGGGCCTCCTCACCCTCACAAACCTTAAGCCTCTCCTATCTAGAGCAAAGCTCTCACACTCTCTCCCTCACAAATACTCTCAGAGAAATACAATCAATGTGGACGTAGCCCAAACCTTGGGGTGAGTCACGATACATCTTGTGTTATTTACTTTTTTGCAGATTCACGGTTGGATTTACATTGTTTCAAGACCTCCGGTTTTGTGCATCAACATTTGGCGCCGTCTGTGGGAAACAACACGAAAAGCTATGTCGATTCTTTCCCATTTTTTCATCACAACCACTGTCCACCGTGGATCCGCAAAAAATCCAAAACACCTATGGATCTCCATTTTCATCTACCAAAACAAAGAAAAACACTCAAATCTCATTTCAGATATATCACAATTTTCCAATCACTTCCTAGAAAAACCAAAACAAAACAATCTCATCCAATCGTTAATCAAATTCAACGACACGATGGCCAGCACTTCGACGGTCGATGCCAGAAGCAGCTTCTGCAGTTCTAATTCAGTATTCTACAGCAAGCGTAAGCCCATACCACTCCCGCCCAACGACTCCATCGACATCACAACCTTCATTTTCTCTCAGGCCCACCGTGGCAACGTTGAAGGAGATTTTGTGAAAAACATGTTCATTTAAGCAACATCTATAGCATGTAATTAACAATTAAAAGGCGGAATCATGCTTGTATGCACTTAAAAACAAAACATTAACCATGAAATTCAAAGCCTAGTAGATTGGTGAACCAAGACTCAACTCAAATCAAAGTGAGTTGAGAAATTTATACCTTTGTAGATTCCTCTTTGCATAAGCAAAGGCTAATCACCCAAGGAGAGGGCCTTCATTCCTTGCTTCTTAGATCTATGGATTTGGATGGAAGAATAGGATTCTCCAAGTTCCCAAAGTTGAGAACCTCTAAGTCTCCACACCAAGATGAGATGTGAAGAAGAGATGAGTGACCTTGGAGGAGAAAGATTACTAGCTAATCCCTCCAAGGGGGCCAGCCTCTTTAGAGAGAAAAGAGAGCTTGTGTTCTCATCCTTTCCCCAAAAGAAAACCCTAAATGAATTTTGGCTATAAAGTCATATTTATACCCTTCCTCTAAATGGCCGGCCTTAGGGTATTATTGGGCTATTTGGGCCTTTGTGAATCATTATTCATTAAGTTGTCATACAACTTAAGTCAATGGACTTGACGTTCAAAGCCCATTGGGCCTTAAGGTCCAATACTATCCCGAGGTCTTTAACGAACTTATTCGTTTGATTAATTAACATATTAATTAATCCTTGCCATAAATAATTAAACCATTTAATTATTCTCACTCATCTCCGTTGTTTCTTCAATCTCTACCTTACACGGTGTACGATCCATTAGGTTCCTTTTAGCAAGGCAGTGGGCGTTTAGAACTCTTTCAAATCGATTGTGAATTGAAACTTACTTTCAATTCTCCCTTTAGTGTTTATACACGTTTAGGGCTTCCACAAACCATGAGTGACACCTAGCAGCATATCATGGTTACCCAAGCTAATCAGTTTAGGATTACAATGCAATACGGTCTTTCTCTAATACAATGGTCTTGACCACATTATTTGGTTTGATAGTTTATTCATGTCTACTATCCAATGTGATTCATTTACTTATATGATTATCTTGAATGTGATTTGGAACGACTTCCTAAATCTCATTCATACTCTGGCCAGAGATTCTTAATCATATCATAGAGTATTCTCCCTTAAACGGTTTGAAGGTTAGAGATCCCTTGTTGTGCATTCACTTGCTTCCATGGCTAAGTGGCTTAACCCCAACTATGCCGTGGACACCCGCGAATGGAGTGACTTTGACATAATCAAAGATCAAGGACCTAACCACAAGACAGCTATGATGCCTCAGGTCAAAGGACTACTTTGCATTATCCCAACCATGAGTTCTCATGTGACATGAGTATGAGAACTCTTCGTTGATCGTGTTCAGTGGACTCATTCGCTATTGAGCACCTACATGCTTGTCTTGGTGTCAATCACACCAATGACTCGAGACCAGTCACTCTCCATGAGAGAAGACACAGCACGTACTGATCTTAACGGACTGTCAATGCCGAATTGGCAATCCTATGATCAGGAACGTTTATGATATGTATACGAAAGAGATTGGTCTCATAAATCTAACTTGTTAAATTACATTCTCCTAATTACATATTCCTTGGACTTATTGTTTAAGCATATAACATTTATATGAGATGGCTTAAAAGAATAATCTTTGCCCTTGATATTAAACTAGATTAGTTTAACATGTAAAATGTTCGTAAAGTATCATCACATGATTGGTTTTAGGGCACATTTCCAACAAACGTGGCCTTCATCGACGGCTCCACCGGCTAACAACTCACCTACGTTCAATTATGGGATATCGTCCGTTCAGTTGCCTCGTCGTTCTCTGACATGGGCATTCGAAAGGGCCACGTCGTCTTTCTCCTGTCCACGAACTCCATCTTCTTCCCGGTCGTCTGCCTGGCTGTGATGTCGCTGGGCACGATCATGACAACCACCAACCCCCTCAACACTACTCGAGAAATCGCCAAGCAAATCGTCGATTCCAAACCAGTGCTCGCCTTCACTACTTGCCAGCTCATCCCCAAACTCGCCGGTCCAATTCCTCTCCCCATCGTCCTTATCGATGACGAAATTGATGCGCCCATTGATAATAAAAGTATTGTGAATACCTTGGGAAAGATGATGGCGAATAAAAAACATGATGGGTTAAAATCGAGGGAAGCGATCATCTAGGACGACACGGCGACGCTGCTTTACTCGTCGGGCACGACGGGGGCGAGTAAATATGTGGTGTCGTCTCATAGGAATCTGATAGCGATGGTCCAGACCGTTATCGGTCGGTTCTATTTGGACGATAACCACCACCAAATGTTCCTCTGCACGGTTCCCATGTTCCACATCTATGGTTTGGTGGCGTTCGCGACGGGCCTACTTACCTCTGGATCAACGATTGTCGTGCTCTCTAAGTTCGAGATGCATGACATGCTTTTGTCCATCCAGAGGAACCGTGTCAGCTATCTGCCACTGGTGGCGCTGATTAACGTCGCCGACCAGGTGAAGGCCAAGTACGATCTGAGTTTATTGAGGTGGGTGTTATCGGGTAGGGCCCCGCTGAGCAAGGAAGTGATCGAGGGTTCTTGGAGAAGTATCCGATGGTGACAATTCTTCAAGGTTACGGATTGACGAAATCGACAGGAGTCGGAGCGTCAACGGATTCACTGGAGGAGAGTCGCAAGTACGGTACGACGGGGCTGTTTTCGACGAGCATGGAAGCTATGATTGTGGATCCGGACAGCGGTCATCCACTAGCGATGAATAAGATGGGAGAGTTATGGCTCACCACGATCATGAATGCAGGCACCCGACGGTCGTGGGTCGGCCTAGGAGCGGTAGTGTAGGTGCAAATTACAGCCGGTAATGCCTTCGTTTTCCCACTCTGCTCCCACTCCCTGAAGTCGGTTGTGGGTTTTCAACCAGTAGCAGCTCACCATGCTGGGTATGGCTAACGATATAGGCGAGAACTTCGACCTTATCCCCGGATTCCTTTCCAAGAAGCACCCGCCATGGCTAATGATTTTAATCAGCGTTCTTGCCTGTTTCTTTGGCTACGGTCTCATCTGGCTCACCGTCAACAACACCATTCTGCCCCTGCCTTACTGGATGAGTCGCAGAGAACCCACCTCAGAATTCCTCATCCCTCACTCCGCAGCGTCATTCCCCATGGATGTCAGTTTTCTTTTCCAATACCTATTTTAGTGCATGGTGCACATGCATTACAGCA